TGTTTTTGCTATGGCTCAACAAGCTGGGTCGTAACACACAGACTACTAAGCTTTTAAATAACTTTGGAAATCCAAGAGGATGATGTCATTACATCATTACTCTAAGCTTTTTGTAGGTTGCGATATCTGAGTTAAACCAAGCTGCACCAGTAGGAGTATTTAAAAGCAACACCTCAACACACTGTTTGTTTTTGATGTCATGAACCAAATAAAATCAGGCTAGATATTTGGAAGAGAATTGTGAACCTCCAGAAGTCTGGTTCAGGCTTGGGTACAATTTGAATACAATTAAAGATTATTTCTGAGTAAAACCATGAGAGAGATCAGCTTTCATACTAGGGATAAACAAGTTCTGTCTCTTAGAAATGAACATGTTTTAGTGTGAAATGTGAATATCAACAAAGGATATTGAAAAGATGCTGGGAGAAATTAGAGAGAGAGTTTCCTTACCAACAAACATATCCCAAGACAGGATGAAAGGCCATTTACAGAGGATGAAGTCATTACTCCAAAATTTCCATAGGAAGCTAGAGTACAGGCAAAAGTTTTTGCCCAAATATGAGCAAAAACCTTAATGTTTGGAGAAATGTTGTGGTCTGATAATGTATAATTACTTCATAAGGACTATGTATGAGGACATGTTCCCAACTGTAATGTACAGAGGTTGCATTATTATTTACTGGAGGCATTTTGCTGTAAGGTGGGGATGTACACTTTATAAAGTGAATGGTATAAAGAGAACAGAATGTTGTGTGGAAAATCAGGAAGTTATGTCTTAGAACCAGGGTAATTGTCCATTTGGAAGACCCATTTGTACCTAGTAAGTTTGCTTCAAAGCGGATGAAGAACAACAAAGTCAACATGCTGGAGTAGTCATCACAAAAAACTGATCTTAGAAGATTTGTGGGCAGAGTTGGTAAAATGACAGCAAGGCTTACAACACACCTGACTCAGTTATATTATTTTTGATAGTTCAAGAAGCGAAGGAAATGTAAGAAATTTTCTGAATTTAAATAAAATTAAATGTACTTCTCTGGCATTTAGCAAATAGAAATATTTTTTGTAATCCAAACTGATCTAAAACAGGAAAAGCTTAGTCTGATTTAATCTCGGACTGATAAAAAAAAGTTATTTTATAAAATACATTTAAACATCTGGTTTAAACGACATCTTGCATTTTCATCTTTGCTTCTGAGATGCACCACTGTTGAGAAATGTAAGTCGACTCGGTACAGTCATGAGTTGGAAAAAAAATACTTAACATCTTGGAACCATGCTCAGCTTCATTTTGGGTGACAGGAAAGCAGTAAATTGTCATAATGAGAAATGTGTTAATGAAATACAAAACTTAGCACAACAGGAAGCAGCTCATAGCTTTTTTCCCCCTCCACTTCCTTCACAACTCAGAAAGTCAAAGACAGTTTTGAGATTTTATCATTCCTTTCGAAGTATTTTAGTTGTTTTCTATTTACTCTCTTAAAACAAATCTCCAGTCTTGTTAAGTCTATCCCTGACATTATCCTTCATTACCCATTCAGGTTCTATGTGTTCTTATGTTTAATCTGTGTTCAAAATGGCTTGTCTAAGATGTCTGCTATCTGTCCTCCTGCCGGTTTAATGTGTAAAACGATTCTAATGTGACTAGAAATTTTCATCAAGATGTTACCCACAAATAAGTAATTTAGATTATTATTTTTTTAAATGTAGCTTCAGTGAGTATGAGCAGATCATCTATAAAGGCAAAATGTTTTTAGACTTTCATATTTGTGTAATCTCCAAATCCAAAAGATAATTGTCACTGTGCTGTTTTACAGCATTTTTCTTTATTATTTTATGGATATAGTAAGTTTGATGACATTTTTAGTTATTTGTAGCTGTAGTAAATTTGAAGGCTTTTATTTTGAAGAACCATTGTATTATCAGTGTCTGACTTCCTGTTTAGTAATTTCCTGGGGTTTTTTGGAGCTGCAGCAAGCATGGCTGGATGTTATTTTGTCTTCAGCATTTAATCTTTTGCCATCCACAAAGAAGCTCAGCTGAAGCAATGCTTTTTCACTGTAGTGTTCTCGTCAAGAGTGTATCAACTCTGACTAAACACTGAGTTAAACCGCAGCATGTAAAGAGGAAGCCAACAGTAAATGGTCAACCTTACTCCATGTCTCCCTCTCATCATTTGCTGTGGTTTAACTCAGTGTTTAGTCAGAGTTGATACACTCTTGACGAGAACACTACAGTCACCATCCCTCAGATCTCATTAAGAGATTTATTTCAGATTTTTTAAACACCTCACTGTGAACAGAATTAGTCCAAAAGCTGTTTTTACAGGCTGAATTCAGTTCTTGTTTCTATTTTTTAGTGTTTCCATTATTGCTGGTTTTCTCCATCAGGGCAGCCCAAAGACAAAACTTCTCTTATTTTAGCAAGATGTTCATTCTGTTAATCACATAAAAGGGATAAGATTGTTTACTTCTAAAAGTCTTGGCTTTTTCCTCTTATTTAATCTTTTTATAGAGATTTTTATGTTGTAACAGCAACAAATAACTTCAGTTTGAGCATTTAATGTAAGACCAGTGTTTTCTTGCCTCATAGATTCTCCCTGAACAGTTTGCAGGAGCTGATGCACTCAGCAGCACTTCAGACACAGAGAGCTTTGTTTCCACTGAAGAGTTAAGACTGGGAGGACTGGAGGGCGGTCAGATGGAAATAAAGACACATCCAGAATGGAAAGTCTCCTTCAGCAGTAAAGCTGAGTAAAATATGAATATTTATAAGTATAAAATGATAATTGCTAGGAAATTAGACCGCCTTATTTCTCTATTACTTAAGTCTTAAGACATTAGATATTTAATACATATTAAATAATTAACACCTTTAAAGAACTAGATACATTAGTAGAATGCAAACACAGAAAATATATAACTTGATCAATGAAAAAATCTACAGCAAATTTACAAAAATAAATCCAAACCAGAGACATGAAGAGAACATGAGAAAACCAGGGAGATCAGATAAGGACCGGTGGAGCAACAATGAAAGTGACGAGACAGACTGGAGAGTTGTGACTGAACTAGAGGAGCTTAAAAACAGGGAGGCAGAAGGTGGAAACAATGGACCAATGGAAACAATGAAGTAACAGATTGCAATCTAACATCTGTAGAAGGTGGCACAGGGAAGCTAGGAAGATACACAGGAAAACACAAAGAGTGAGGGAGTAAACAGGGAAGATGGAAATAAGTCTAATGCTAAATAAACACTAAGACTAAAGAAACCATGATAAACTAGAAAGAGAAAAAGACATGAGGGAAAACTACGAAAGAACCAAAACAGAAACAAGGCTGATCTAAAAATAATAAGAACTAAGGAATATAACTTACTAAAGAAAAAAGACATGGGCTCAAACATCTAAGAACAATAGAACCATAACAAAATAACTAAGAAATAAACATAACTAGAAACACTACGGAGGGACTGAAATAAGGAAAACAAGACAAATCTAGCCAGAATAAGTTACATCAAAATGAAACTAGAATGACACTGAAAAGTAAAATTAAAGTGAACTAGAAAATAACTGATAAAACAGAAACACACACAAAGACTCCCAACACAAAGCCCAGAGTCCTGACATAGGAGTGACAGACAAACCTTTAACTTTTAAGCCCCTGAAATAATCTGTTCCTGTAAATGATTTTGTTCCTCCTCTTACAATGAATTGTAAAAAAGGTTAATTAGCAGCTAGTTCATCAGGGCACTATTTAAAGTCATCTTTTTAAGCAAGTTCTAATGCGGAATTAAATCGTTGCTTTTAAAACTATAAAGATCTTACAGAAAAAATATATTTTTGAAAAGATCAACGTTCTTCTTAACGTAGCTCAGTCCCATAGCATAGAATCGCCGCTTATTATTAACACACGTTTACTAACTGTATGAACGCCGTAGTATGTAGGTGAAATAGTCAAAGTTTGCGTTTCTGCAGTTCGCGGAAGCCGGAACCGAAAGTAAAAAGTGAATCAGAAGGGAGTGGCTGCAGTCGGTCCGTTAGATCGAGCTCTGCTCCGTTAGATAAAGTTAATTTCTTTATTTGTGGCTCTTTTTGTCAAAATTTTCTGAATACTTAAAAAACAATGGAGCTTCTTTTAGTCTTGTGCCTCTGCATCTCCACTTGGACTGGAAAGACGCTTGGTGATGAAAACGGTAAGAAGAAACTGCGCAGATGCTTTAGACTGGGGAAGTAGACATATCTGTAGTTGTCGCATCTGCATTTAACTGTTAGAAGGCAGATTGTTACACAGAGATAAAAATGCATCGTCTTTCACATCTGAAGTGACGTTGTAGATGGTATTTTTCTGTTTTGATAAACATTGGCAGTGTACCGATGCATGCACATTACAGATGTACGTAAACGTGAGCGCTGCGTCATTCGACCTGCTACAAAGCATAGGTGTATGGCAAGCCATCTAACATAAATTCGGTCAATCCGCGTTTCCCCATCAGATACGGTTCCCCTTCGTCTTCTTGCCGCTCCGCCCCGCCCACGCGG